GGAGGGGAAGGGAGATGGGATTAATGGTAGTAAATATCTGTCTGGGGACGGGGAGACACCACTTATCAACAAGGGTGCCTGAACAAAGCATATTTGTATACCTAACCCTTAACTGTACCCCACAATATCATATTAAAAAATATTGATTATTTTTTAAAAATAGATAAATAAAAACAAAGAGTGTGACAGAAACCCTGTTACCTCCAACATTCTCACTCCCTTTTTTCCATAGTAAAAGAATTTTTAGCTGGGCACAGGGTCACCCAAAGTAAAATCACATTGCCCAGCCTCTTTGTAACCAGGTGTGGCCATGTTCCTAAATTTAACCTTACATAGGATGTAAGCGAATAGTTAGGTGGCAGTTTCTAGGAACCTTAGGAAATAACTGGTGCATGTCCTTTGTCTCTTGCTCTTTGACCATTCTGACCTTGCTTTGAACAGGAGTGCTGCCATGGTGATCCATGCAATCATGGCTACACTGCAGGGATGGTAGAGTGGTGAGCTTAAAGCAGTCAGGCTCCCTGTGGGCTTCATGCAGCAGATTGCCATGCTAGTCTTGGACTATAGTACTTGCCTCCAGAGTTTGTTTACTTGAGAGAAAAAAATAAATCCCTATCTTCCACAAGCCACTGTCATTTTGAACTTTCTGTAACTCACAACCAAATCGAATTCAAACACAGGGAAGACTGCTGTGTGGTCTGCCTGTTTCCTGTGATGATGCCGAAGCTGAGGTGCTAACTTCCATTCACTTGCAGAAGTCCAGGTAGTTGGCCACTACCTACCTCACAGAAGAGCTGGCCATCCTTTGAAACTATACTTTAGGAAGTATAGGTGAGGTTAGGCCAAAATTAACAAGTTTCACAAATATTTCCAAAGTATGCTTTGTCCACATATTTCCAAAACAGCCTCCATGAAATGCAAAACAGGAAGCAAAGTACCTGGCCCCATGTTCCCCCCCATGATATAACTCCACGTTATGCCCATCCTGGACCCAGAAACTTTTCACTGGAATCCTGTTAGAGGAGCACTCTTGTGCTGGGTGGAGAGTTGGTGATATAAAAGCTACCACTTTGCAGAGAAAAGGGAACGTTTCTACATTGTTGGTGTAAGTGCAAACTAATTCAACCTCTAACGAATTCAACAGTGTGGTGATTTCTAAAAAAAACTAGAAATTGACTTTCCATACAACCCAGCAATCCCTCTTCTGTGAATATACCCAGAGGAACTCAAACCATTCTGCAAAAAAGATTCCTGTACACGCATGTTTATTGCAGCACTATTCACAATAGCAAAAACATGGAACCAACCATGCTGCCAATCGAAACTGGACTGGATAAAAAAAATAATGTGGTATATATACATGATGGACTATTATGCAGCCATAAAGAAAGACAAAATTATGCACTTTGCAGCAACTTGGATGGATTTGAAGTCTATAACACTCAGTGATCTATTACAGAAACAAAGAACCAAGTACCCCATGTCCTCACTAAGTTGACCCTGAACACCTATCATAATACTCCAAAAATGGGATTGGCAGTAGTGGAACACTGTCAGGGAGTGATGGGGGACAAGAGGGACACATAATCTTAATAAGGGCACCTGATCCTACCAGGTGAACTGAGGTCCAATGGGAGGTCCAAAACTTTACCTGTACCTAAACCACTTACGCATCCAATTCTGACTTGTACCCCACAATTTTAAAATCAAACAACAGCAAAAAAATTAAATAGATAAAAGGTACCACATCTGGGAAGTCTATAATTTGGGAAAGAAAGGTGAGAAGGAAAATGGGAGAAGAAGAGAAAGGTGTAAAAAGTAAAAGACAAGGGGGAGGGAGGTAACAGGCTTCTGTAGAAATCTACACTGGTCTTCTTCTGAGGGGAACATTTTAGAAACAACGAAATCTAGAGACAAAACTATACTTGAGCTCTAGTTTCCCAGTAGATAATAGGCATGTCATTTGATAACGGGCGTGTCATTTGACCTCTTTCAGCCTTGGGTCCTTTAAGGGTAAAAGGGAGAAAGAGACACACATATGCCCACATCATAAAGCAGATGTGAACATCAAATGCATCAATAACTGTGAGACTGTCTTATATTGTAAAGTGTAGTCTACAGCAAGCAAAACCTCTCACAGGAGGAGAGAGCAGCCTGCAAGTGGCACACTCTCCCTCATTGTCCTCCACCTTCTGTATTGAGCTAAGCTTACTGGCGCTTGATCTCAGTACCTGTCACCTCCTATAGTACAGCTTAGAAGTGATGCTATGAAAGGAATGGAAAGGAGATGTCTGTAATTATCAAGCTCCCAGTCAGATCTCAGTCCAAAATGTTAGTCCGTATGGACGTCAATGTGTGTGTTTTGTGGAAATGGGGAAAGGGACACCTGCTTAGCCTCTGTAAATACCACATTTGGGCCTAGTACAAGATGGTTATGAACCCAAAGGATTAAGCTAATTAAATGAGCCCCAAACCAACTCCCAAAGAGGTGAGCGTGGCAGAATTACTGCAAGAAATGAACAGACTACAAAATAACAAGTCTTGCTTGTTAAGCAAGTTTGCTATGTTTATGAAAAACCAAAGTCTCATTACTCTAGAACCATATCTGAAATAACTATATGTACACAGCAGGCATTCTATAATATCCAAGAATTTTTAAAAAATACCATTCTACTAAAATGTACAAGTCTCATTCCATGATACTTTGTTGACAGTTTACTGCTACCACTTCCTTGCCACGGTAGGGTGGTAGAAAAAAGAAGGGTATAAATACTTCCTGGACTACCTCAGAATTTGCCATCTGGAAAGTGTGGCAGCCATGAGAATGTGCCTTGCAGACCTTCATCTACAGGGGGCATAAAAGACCAATGCCCCAGTTGTTGTGTTCCCAAAATCCACTAAGTTCATGCCCTGAGGCCATGCTTCCCATGGGTTTCTCCCAGTCCTAATATCTCAGCTGTAGGGATTCCTGGGAGATAGGAGACACCTCTGCTGGCTGACTTTGGCACAGGGACTCTTCAATGCCTTGGGTGAGCCTTCATTAAGTTACGTGACAGTCTAGGTCACTTCATTTCATGCTTTTCCTCTCCTGCTGGGTTAGACTTGCATCGGCTTCTGATGGCTCTCTCAGCCTCTCTTGGCTCCCTCCTGGTTTTCTCTCATATGGGAATTTCCCCAAATAACATTCTTGCATGTTTAATCCTCTCCTAGCATCTGCTTCTCAGAAGACCCTGGGTTGCATAGGCCATGATCAGGCAAGATCTACAGAGCCTTTTGCTCTATATGAACTCAGTTCTTTGACCTGCACTTTCCTAATGTGGTGGGAACCATAGAGAGCAAGAAGGCTGATGATCAGGGTGGTGAACGAGGCTAACCATAAGCCAGGACACAAGTTTAGGATACTTTTATACTAGCAACATCTAAAGTCAACTGTTGCCTCATCTCTGAATGCCCCTGTGCCTATTCCTATGCAAAGGAAATAGCTGTAGAGTTCTTGATTCTCTTTCAGATGTAGATCACAATATCTCAATATATCCCTTTCTGCATTCTAAAAGAGCAGTTTCTGCCTATGGAGACAGAGCTTGGTTTCCTAATCTGGGCAGCCTCTGCTTATGGCAGTGTAAGAATTGAGACACACAAGGTATTCTCCCCTCCCGCTGAGGCAATCCAAGCAATACATGTGCACTTACCTGGCCTTTGGCTGGGTCTTTTTTGCAGCTGCCTCACTGGCTTTCACTGGCTCAGGAAGTTTTGCAGGAATGGAGGAGTTCTACAGAATTGAAAGACAAAAAAACAAAAGGACATCACAGATTTCTTTGTAAAAGAATAATCAGCCTAACTAGGGCTCAGAGCTGATGGAAACACACTTTGGGATCTTCTGGAGCAGCTTCTGGGCCCTGAGCTCTGTCAGGTAGAGGGAAGGAAAGTTAACCAAATGCTTATCAGACTCAGCCACAGTCAGGGAAACCAAGTCTCTGAGAGGAGGAGAGAGCAGCCTGCATGTGGCACACTCTCCCTCATTGCTCTCTACCTTCTGTATCAGGCTAAGCTCACTGGCACTTGATCGCATTACCTGTCTCCTCCTATAGCACAGCTTAGAAGTGATGCTATGAAAGGAATGAAAAGAGATGTCTGGAACCTGCATTATCTAACTCCCAGCCAGATCTCAGAAAACGTCATGCTGACCAGTGTGTGCAACTGCCACCCAATGTGTATGGCTGCTGAGCCAGTACCCCTTCCCAACCCATGGGACACTGCTCAGTCCACAAGCCAAGCAGAGTTCCTCTAGCTTGGGTTCTGCACCATTCATCAATATCGCCTCTTCAGTGAGGACTGGCTAGTTGTCCCTAGCCATAAACAAGTGCTTACCAATACTGAGCAAGTACCAACCCACATGAGACTTGTGAAGTTTACTTTTTAAAAACTAGCTACCATTCTGAAGGCTCCCAGCTATATTTCACATTATTTAGTCTTATTAATGGGAAAGTGGGACTCATTTTAATCTGGGAAACACAAAAAACAGAATACTAGTTATAAAACTGGTCTTTTGGGAGGGTCCTCTCAATTCCTTCACATTTCCAGGTGGGGAGAATTTCTGCTAGAAAATCTCTAGCATCTCCCTTACCCTTCAAGCATTCTTCTCCCAAGGGAGAAGAGTAATTTATTTAATTGATAAGGCTGAGAGAAAAAAGCAAGCTGGTTTGGTTTGTCATTGCTCTCCTTCCTTTAAGGAAAAGCCTGTCCCTCAGGAATCAGGTATTTACATCTCAGTCACATGGATCTAATGTTAGGGAGCCTGACTGATCAAGCTATGTCCTCTTATTCAACCTTATCAGAAATAAAGCTCATATTATGAGCTCCAACTAAATGAGACCTATAGCTGATCCCCAATGTGGGAGTAAAAGAGGAGTTATTTATCAACACCTTCAAGCCCCAGTGGTGACATCAAAGTTCATTATTAGAAAAACTAGCAAGAACATTTTAGTTTAGAATCTATTACAGCATCCACTAGGAAAATATCCAAGATAACTAGATCACCATATGACATGAAAAATATGCAAAGATTGAAAAAGGGTGTTTGCCAACCCCATTATAAAATGGGCAAAAGATATGAACAGACACTTCACAAAGGAAGACATCCGAGCAGCCAACAGACACATGAAGAAATGTTCAACCTCACTAATCATCAGGGAGATGCAAATCAAAACCACATTGAGATACCACCTAACCCCAGTCAGAATGGCAATCATCAACAACTCAAAAAATAACAGCTGCTGGAGAGGGTGTGGTGAAAAGGGAACACTTCTACACTGTTGGTGGGAGTGTAAACTAGTGCAACCTCTGTGGAAAGCAGTGTGGCGATTCTTAAAAGCTCTAAATACCAACCTCCCATATGACCCCGCAATCCTCCTACTGGGAATATATCCTGAAGAACACAAATCACTCTATAAAAAAGATACCTGCACACGCATGTTTATCGCAGCATTGTTCACAATAGCAAGAACCTGGAAACATCCATGCTGCCCGTCAAAAGAGGACTGGATTAAAAAAATGTGGTACATATACATGATGGAATACTACACAGCCATAAAAAAGAACAAAATCATGAATTTCGCAGCAACCTGGATGGAACTAGAGTCTATAATAATGAGTGACCTCTCACAGAAACAAAGATCCGAGTATCACATGTTCTCACTCATATAATGGACCTTAAACATCCAATGCAATACTATACAAAAATAACTGACCGTACTGGGAAACTATGGTGGGGGGAGGGAGATGGGATTAACCGTAGCAAATATCTGTCTGGGAACGGGGAAACACCCCATATCAACAGGGTGCCTGAATGAAATGCAATTGTATACCTAACCCTTAACTGTACCCCACAACTTCACAATAAAAAAAAAGAAAGAAAGAAAAAGGGTGTTTGCAAGCTTTTTACTTTGAAAACCAAATGTGGTCAATAGCAGAAGCAAAATCAAGAAAGTTCTGCTGCAAGGAAGAACAAGAACAAGGAGCTTAAGTTTCATTAGGCGCAGGGAAAAGTCCAAGGCCTTGCTCTGAAAAGCCTGAATGCCCCAAGTCAATAAAGCAAGAGATATCTATATTCATTTGGACAGCTGATTAACACCCCAGAAACCTGAAATGGTAATTTTATAATGTTTACTTCCCTTAAAAAGTACCATTCACCTACCTGTACATTTGGAATTGGGCATTCTTTCTTGAGCAGTTTAAATGAGAAGTAGGAGACCTGGTAAATATCTGGCCTTTTGTCAGGATCTGGTTCCAACATATATCCTAAAACAGACATATGTGAATTTAATAACATCCCAACAGTTATTACATTAGTTAGGAAACATAAGTTCTCTCTCCCCTACCCAAGTTTTGTTGTTTAAAAATTTTTATTTCTCATAAAAGTCAGATAATACAATTTGCCCTTTTCTTCTCCTCTCAGAAAGGGAAACTCTACATCCCTAAAATAGTTAATACCCACAAAAAATAAGATATTTGAGTTCTAACAAATGTACTTGAAGTTCACATTCTGTGCTTTGCACAACAGAGACTCAAGTTCTCTATACTAAAGTCACCTCCTTTATATTCTGATACCTCAAAGGTTGCACGGTCTTATTTCTGGCACCCTTGATTCATACTATTTTGCTAAACAAATTATTATTCTTGATAATTATATCCAAGACCCAAACTTCATGAATTTGCTTACTATTACTTTGTTGGAGACATTAGCTAATTTCCAGTTTAAAAGAAATTACAAAGTAACATATGCATATATACTTTTACTGTGACCTACAGATCACCTGTCTATTTCCACGTCCTTTAAGCTTCTACCTCTCTGAGGCTGGAAAAATCTTCAGGGAAAAAAAAAAATCAAAAAAAGATGCAAAGCAGTTTATTACTTTACTAATAAAATGAATGGGTTGAACACTAAGTTCAGAAAAGATTAGTGAGGTTGCAGCCTTGTGAAGGTCTTGCAAGAGACCGGACTTGAGCTGGCCCTTGAAGGCAGAACAGAATTTCACTAGTCGGAGGGGAGCAGAGAAAAAGACATTCCCATAGAGAAAACAGTTTGAGCAAACAGAGACTTGGAGAAAGACAAGAGAATGACCTGCTGCAAGGAAACAGAGGAACCTGAAGTACAGGGGAGAGAGAAGGGAGGGTGGGTAGGGTGGAACCAGAATATGAAGGATCTCAATGCCATGCTAAGAATCTGGGTTCTACTGTGGGGCCACTGGCAAGCCACTGAAGTCTCCTGAGCAGGGCCATTTAAGGGTGACATTTTGTAAGGTGAATCTTTTGGTGATGGTGTAGTAGATAGATCAAAGAGAGAGGAGAAAAGCTGGAGACCAGTCCAGCAGTACAGGCAGTCTGTATATGCTAAGGTGATAGTGATGAGCACAGAAAGAATATAATGAACACAGTCAAAACTCAAAAAAGGAATTGATATAGCTGAGACAACAACTATTCTTTCCCCTGTCTTGCTAGCCAGATCCTAAGACATCTTAAATTCCATTTATCCAGGATTGAATGGTGATACCACTGAAAGAAACTGAAAGAGGTTAAGGGTAATTAAAAAGAAGGTAGAGGTGGAGAGGATGAGTATAAATTTATTTTTTTTTTTTAAGTTGTAGTCCCACTCTGTTGTTCAGACTGGAGTGCAGTGGCATGCTCCCGGCCACCGCAGCCTCGACGTGCTGGGGTCTGGTGATCTTTCCACCTCAGCCTTCCAAGTAGCTGGAACTACAGGAGCACACTACCACGCCCAGCTAATTTTTTATTTACTGTAGAGACGAGGTCTTGCCAAATCGCTCGGGTGGGTCTTGAACACGTGGGTTCAGCTAATCCACTTATCTCGGCCTCCCAAAGTGCTGGGATTACAGGTTGAGCCACCGAGCCTGGCCTAATTTTTTTTTTTTTTTTTTAATTTGGAGAAGAGGTCTCACTATGTTGCCCAGACTGGTGGCTTGAACTCCTGGATTCAAATGATCCTTCCGCCTTGATCTCCCAAGTGCTGGGATTACAGGCATGAGCCACTACAATTGGCCAAATTTAATTTTAGACCTGTGAGTTTAGGGAGATAGTGGAATTGTCAAATAGCTTGCAAACTGAAATTGCTTAGGGATGATGTCAGTATTATAGACATTCATAAAGAGTTATTTTTCCCAGTATGAATTGACTGCACAAATGTTAAAAAATTATTACCAAAAGATTCTACTGGTTTAACACCAAATTTGGCCATTTTCCCTTATTGCCTTCCAATCTCACTTTCATAGCTACAATTCTAGCATGGATATAATGCTTTACCTTTGAAAACAATCCAATACTCATAAGTGCCATACTCCATTCCTTCAAACGCCCCTCCTTTTAAAATTAATAAGTGGAAAGGATGATTGATAAAACTGGCACAATGGAATGGGTAGTCACTTAAAAGCTGTTTATTTTAGGTAAATTATCTATGCTTTCTCAGCTTCAGTTTCATCATTTACATGATGGGTATACTCCCACTTCATATATAAAGGGTTCTGAGAATGAAATGAAGTACAAGTAGGCCCTCATCAAATGTCAGATGCTCCACCCACATGTGCTGCTTCTGTTTTTCCAGTGAATGCCCATCCAGGACCAAACTTGGTTGCTCAGGATTCATAATCAATCCATAATGATTAAAACTTAGATGCTCAGTGTCTTGACCAAAGCAGAAAGATGATAAAAATCTCTGCTTCTGTAGCATTTTAGTATGGGGGCTTATGCAAAGACTACTTATTCTACAATCTGGTTAATGGATGCTAGTACATATGCTTGCTACAAGGATACAAAAGAGAAGGGAATCTTAAGATTATTTTCAACAAAGTAGTGAGTTTAGATGCTTGTTATCAAAATCCAGCGATTAACCTAAACGAGTGGGAAAACCTGGTTCCATGGAGTTATTTCGTCTTAATTACGTATTCACTCCAGTCAATGCACTGCAATCATTTTCATTTGAGCTGCTTCCAGTTGTGCAAAGATGAATTTCTTATCACTTGATATGAGTCAGCTGGACTCCTTTGGTACCAGAGCTTTCATAGAGACTGCAACAAAATACAGAAGCACTATACCGCTCAAAGCACAGTTAGGACTTCTGCTTGGGTGGCTGGGCTCAGGTGTGAAAGAGTTAGATTTGTAGCAAAAGGACCCCCTGCTCTAACTAGACACTGTTACACTATCTTTGAGTTCCCAACCATTATCAGCTAACTTCTTTATCTTTGCATCCAACCCATTACTCCTGAAATCTAACCCCTTTATCCTTTAATTCACTCCTAATAGGTAGAGATAAAAATATGAAACTAGAAACTTGAAATACTTACTAATTAAGCAGTGCATGTCTTGAGAGTATCGAGAGTTATCAGGAATTGTGAAATTTCCATCACAAATTGCCACCTGACTCTCCCCAAAAGGCAAAGTGAAGTAGCATAATTTATACAACAAACATCCAAGAGCCTAAAAAATAAAGACAGAATATTGCTACTAGTGGCTTATTTATCATATGTACAAATGGATCTCATGAGAGATACTGGCACCATTCACATTTACTAGTAGACATAACAACTGTAGACTATTAATCTATTAGAAGCATGAACTTAGAACCCAACACCATTGTTTAGCAGCTAAGTTACATTATCTCTACCCTTATTACCAAACCGTGCTCCAGTAAAGAAAAAGTATTTTACCCGTTTTTGTTCTTAAGAACTAGTAACATATATTGAAAAGCACCTAAATAATTTTCACAGAGCTTGAAAGTAATTTTCTTTATCATGCTTCAAGAAGCAGTGGCTGGTCCTCTCACATCAAGATCAACCTTGAGGGATGAGTAGACAATGATATGGTACAGTAGCCACCATGCTATAGCACTATCTGCATTAAACTTGGGAATTCAGTCAAGACTGCTGATGTCTGAGGTGTAGATAGGTTCGTTGATAGGTGTAGATAGGTTCACCTACCCAAATGTCTGCCTTCGTAGTGATGATTTTGCCACTGTACAGGTTGACCATTTCTGGTGCTCGATAGGATAGTGTTGTATATCTACAATCAAGAGATTCATAATTTGTTAAATATGTCAATGCTATAATTAAAAACTAGGAGCAGCTGAAATACTTTTTTTCTTTTTACATTAATAGAATCCCTGGCAGCAATCCGCAGAAGAGAGCATGAAATATCAGAGCTGATAAAATCAAAGGCTGTTCTTGGTTTAATCATATCATCACACTGTGGCCTTCTGGCAGCAGTCCCAGAAGGTCTAAGGATATGTGGAGATGCAGACACTAATGCAACAAATAAACTCTAAGAGCAACTTTTCTTGGATACTCAAATAACAAAATCTTCTCTTAGAAATTCTTACTGTCTGATACCATGTTTTGCTGATTCACTCTCTAAAGTAGCAAACCCTTTAAATGTGGCTCAACACAGACTGGGTGGGACACTCTGGAGAAGAGCAGAAAGCGGGCCCTGGCTTGCGTGAGGGACGCATGGGATCCAGAGCCCTTCATCTTTTCTCCTGGAATCGGGCTCAAACTATAGTTTTCCTCTTATCTCTGGCTCAAGAAAAAAGTAGAGTAAGCGAATCCTCAAAGGTGAGTGGCTTAGTGTTACCAAGCATGTGATTTATGCTGCTTGAGTCTATAGAATCCAGATGGGACTGATTCAGGCACCCATCTGGGCCTCAGGTCCACCAGGGCCTCCTTGCCTTGGGCTGGGTTGTCTGGGGTGATGCGAGAAAGGACAGAGAGGACCTGGATGTAAGTGTGCAAACTAGACTACTGATTTATTAGTAGTAATAGCGAGTGCTGTTGCCTGTAAAAAAAATCCAACACTGTGGACATGAGGGGAAAATGGGTCAGGCTCTTATTGGAGTCACAAATCTTAAGAAGTTTTTCCTCATGAAAGTCAGACTTCAATAATTCCACTAAAATTGCCTAATAAGCAGGAAGGAAGCAGCAATTTAGGGTTCAGTAAAAACACATATGTTTGACTGATAAAATGTCATGGTTGTTGTGATCACACTGAAAAATATATTACTTTTGTGTCATGAACCACTCAGCTTTTTATGAACTATGTGATATTGTAAGTCAAAATATCTATGTACAGTGACCATAGGACCATTGATAAAGTGCTCTAAGAGTTCTTCCTTGTATTTACTGACTAACACTTGTGATCCGTCTCCTCATCTTCCACATCTTAAAGTCAAACAACCCAACTGTGCACGTAATGCTCTGAGATGAGGAACAATTGACTAGCACCATTCTCTCCCCATCCTGACCTACTCATCTGCAAGCTGAAAGGCTCATCTGATAATGGACACAACTCCACACAACTCTAAGAAAAAAGGAAAGTCTTACTTCTTAATCTCATCTTCTACTGCATTGACTCCCTCAGTTTGTGGATTCTGGAATTTGTTGGTAGCACTGCCAAAGTCACACAGGACATAGTGGCCTCGGTCATGCAAGAGGATATTTTCAACCTGAAAAACATTCCCCAACCACCCATACCAAGATATCATTTAGTAATGCATGTGGACATCCGGTTTCACAGTCACATAAGCAAAATGATTTATATCTGGCAATCTCACTCATGTGCATAGAAAAGTTGTTTCCCTCCAAGTATCTCAACAGGGATTGTCCCAGGTGGAACAAGAAGAGATGCACAGTAACAGGAAGAAGGCGGAGAGGGAAAAGAGGAAACTCCTCAGCAGGGGAAGCAAGAGTCCCAGTGCTTGAAATTTCCAGCCACATCTGTCACCTCTGCAAGAAGCAGACATCGTAGCTCCAGGCCTTGGTACCTGTGCTCTCGCTCTTCTTTCAGGCTAGGATACTCTCCATGATCCCCTCCCCCTCCTCCAACTAACAAAATCCCATTTCAAACCCCGGCTCAAATGTCATGTTCTTTTCAAGTCATTTCTCAGGCCGCCACTCAGACAAATGTCACTCCTTCCCTATTGTCCTTCAGTATTTCATTCTTCCATTGTATCACTTACTTCACTTGGACCTTTTAAGTGCATATATCAATATCTTTACCAGATTAAAATATTCAGAATTAATTTTTTAATATTTTATTTACTTCTTAAAGTGCTAAAATGCCTGGGGATAAATGAGCAGCTTTCCTGTTAACACAGTACCCTAATTTTTTGTAAATAAATTCTTTGGGCACTGAGTTAGGAGTTCTACATAAGCAGGGAGCTTACAAAGACCAAAACCTAGAGAACTCCCTGGTATCAAAGGATTTTACCAATGAAATAGCAACTCCAAAATAGAGGGCGCTATGTGCTCGGGGTGTACTGATTAGTTTTAGACTTAGGTGAACTGAGCTGATTATATGCTGGAGGACAGACCTGGCTATGCGTGGGTAGTAAAATGGCAGCCAAAAAATCCTGCTAGGCCAGTAAGACTGTAGTCTCCATTGTCTTTTGTCTTCAGTCTTCCAAAGACTGACCAACTTTGGAAAACTAAGGCAAGAGCAGACTATAAGCTCCTTAAGGACAAGTGTCATCTCATAATCATATTCCTGGTCTTCTCTACCCAGTGCCTCACATAGCACTTGGTACAGAAAATGTTTGCTAAATGGAATAAACCAAAAACAGAAATATACATAATAATATTGTGTGTGTGTCAGTGGGTGTGTCTGCACACAAGTCTGTCATGGGCAAGACAGAAGTCATCAAATAGCTGGGTGGGCCCTACTACTGTACTACTACTGGTTCTTTTAAAAATATCTGGTCAGTTATAAGTCTCTAGTTCCTATACATGCTTCTGTACTTTCTTTTCATTCTTCTAAGAATTATATTAACTATATTTTATAGTCTGTATCTGCTAATTCCAATATCTGAAGCCCTTGCTGTCAATTGATTCTACAGTTTACTGTTTCTTATTCCTACCGAGCCTCACTCATGACACTCTTGTTGTGAGGAGTTTTGCTCTTGTTAACAGAGGTTCCTTGGAATTTCATCTGTAGGAAGTATTTGAGATCTGGATTTAAAGTCTATTGTGCTTCCAGAGAGAATATGCTGGTACACCCGGGAGCACTACTATCCTGCAATCACTTTAATTGAAAATTTTGACCTCAGGATTTCTAGTCGTACAGGCAGTGTGAACTATGGCCATCACCCTGCACAGATATGCTCTTATGGTTAAGAATTCTTAATCACAGGACTATGAATTAAGAATGAGCAGGAGAGGGCAACTCCCTTGGGTCCTCTCCCACTGTGGGATTTTTTCTGTCCTCTCAATAAATCTTGCTTTCTTTAAAAAAAAAAGAATAAGCAGGAGAGATTTGCTCCATTGAGATAAGGCCAAGACAAGCAAATATTTCTACCATCTGCAACTTTCCTATAAAGCTCATCAGTTTAATCTATTTACACAAAGTGACACAGTCAAGCTTTCCTGAGCCTATACTCACTTTAGGAATTTTAAAATAATTCCAAAATACTCACCTAATTTACTTTTTAAAATTGCAATCAAATTTAGAGTTTATAAATATAACAGCCATCATTTAGTGAGCTGTACTATCACCAGTACTACTGTACTCAGCACTACACATGGATTATCCCACTACAACCTCACAATTACAATGCTATTATTATCGTAATTTTACAGATGGGGAAATCAGGCACAGAGTGATTAAGTCACTTGCTAAAAGTCACACAGCTAATAGGTGGCAGAGCCAGGAAGTGAACCTAAGCAATCTAACTCTAGAAAAGGATAGGCAATCACATTTCTACCAAGGCAGGAAGCAAGTTAGAAGCAGAGCAATGACTCAAGGCCCCCCACTATCCCTACCCTCCAACTATGGTAAGGGTGATGATACTTGCCCAATGCATTGGATACAAGCTTAGGGACAGGGCTTCCCCAGTTCTTTGTGTTCAGAAATGTCCACATAATAGAAATCTAATCAATAAGGAATGAAATGCCTAAACACTAGCCAGGCTGATTTAGTCAATGTCTCCTAAGAATTCCTTATACCGCTTAATTTGTCCTTTTATTCAATTGCTCGCTCTCCACTAGTCAAATTCCAGCTATTACTGAAGATGTTGCTCAAGTTTTAACTCAGTAAAACCTTCCATAACCACACTACAAAATCTACAGAATGTATTGTCATTAGGAGAGGTCAGCAAAGGCCTCCAGGCCAAATCAAGCCATGCCCATTTGGCTGGGCACTGTGGCACGTGCCTGTAATCCCAGCACTTTGAGAGGCCTAGGTGGGCGAACAGCTTGAGCCCAGGAGTTTGAGACAAGACTGGGCAACATGGTGCGACTTCATCTCTACAAAAAAATTTTTAAATAGCTGAGTGTGGTGACACATGTCTGTAGTCCCAGGTATTTGGGAGGCTGAGGTAGAAGGATCACCTGAGCCCAGGAAGTCAAGGCTGCAGTAAGCCGTGATCATCTCACCCAACCTGGGCAACAAAGTGAAACTCCAATTCAAAAAAAAAAGTCATGCCCCCCGGTTACTTATCCTATAGTTTGTGGTTGTTTTTGAGCTCCAACAGCAGAGTTGAGCATTTGTGACAGAGATTGTATGGCTGACAAGCCTAAACTATTCCCTAGCCCTTGGCAGAAAAATGTTGCCAACCTTTGGACTGTAATAACCACTGATAATCACTTAGACTTTGGCAAGGTTTCTTCAACTGTGGATCAGTATCTGACTTCTTACATATTTATGCTGGCCTTCCACATTAGAGCACAACACCTTTAAGGGCAGGACACTGTAGCTATGCCGATGTATTCCCCACAAAACCTGGTCTAGTACTGTACACACACTAGGGACCCATACAAGTTACTGATGAAATCATTTTTTCAGCATCATTGGCCAACATCCTTCCCCCTTGGCCCCATGCACACTAAAGGGCTCATGGGAACCCAGGCTTCTACTACTGTGTGTGCACGTTTCCTTTCCCAGGCAGTTTCTATGTTTTTAATACTAGAATGTGCATCTAGAAGACTGAAGAGCTAATTCACATCAAAAGACAAAGAAGTTAGTTATAGGGCCCAAAATCACTGCTGTGGGAGCGAGAAGGGTTAAGTAGACAAAGGACAGAACAAAGATGAGGCACATTGTTGGCTGCTAAGAACAGTAATCCCTGCTCTGGTCACTTTGCAAGTTTGTTGGAAGGATCAAACAAGATTATGAAGGTGAAATCACTTGGTAGCAGCCACCTTAGCAGTTGCTGCACTCTACCCCACCTGCCTCAGTCTGCCCCTGTGACTTGTAACTCCTGTGAAAACCTCTGAGGCCAAGCAGGCCACTGTTGCTGCTCTATGTCACCACCTCTACCACCAAAACACTCAGCAAAGAACTTGTTATGTGGCAACAACTCTGGACTTGGGGGCAAAAGAACTTGGAACTATTTTAGATGTTTGACCTGTTAAGCTTCTTTTGGTTTTTCATCTGCAAAGTGAAGCTGATATTCCTGTCACTGTTGAGAGGAAGCAGATGAGAGAAAGTATGTGAAAGCAAACTATAACTCTCCCTATACAAATATAAGATGTTATTACCATGCATTTATGAAAGAAACATCTTCAAACTCCTCCTATATGCCAAATACTTTTCCAGGTTCTAGGGATAAAGTTGTGAACAAAACAAAATCCACTCTCTCATGGAGCTTACAGACCAACTATGGATAATAAGAAAATAATGATAATTGCCTGGTAGTGATAAATACTATGAAAGGAATCCAGCAGGTTAATATATGTAAGATGAAGAGGAAAGCTAGTTTAAATTGCACCATTGGGATTGCCTGAGCCCACGGGTTCGAGACCCGACTGGGCAGCGAGACCTCATCTCTACAATAAATCAAAAAATCAGCCGGGCGTAGTAGCGCATGCCTGTAATCCGGCTACTCGGAAGGCTGAGGCGGAAGGATCGCCGGAGCCCAGCAGGTCGGGGCTGCGGTGGCCGGGAGCGGCCACTGCACTCCAGTCTGGGCGACAGAGTGAGACTCCAACTCAAAATAAATAAATAAATAAATAAAAATAAATTGCACCATTGGGGAACGTCTCCAACGAGGGGAGCAGAGACCTAAATGGAAAAGGGGCAGCCATGGGCCACCTGGGGGAAGAGTATTCCAAACAGAGAACAGGAGCAGCAGCACCAAGGCCCTGAGATGGGTTCATGCTGAGGCACAGAGGCGGGCCACTGTGGCCAGACCTGCACTGTGCTTGGCACTGGTACAGCAAAGAAAGCCGAAAACGTGAGACGGGACATACTATAGGCCAGTGCTGTCGAGGACAAGATAATTCAGGGCAAAGGAAGTAAAGGATTTATAAAAGTGAAACTAATAGCAGGAACAAAGCAGGGAGGCAGGAGTGATGACAATAATAATAGTGGTACCAGTAGCTAACAACATTTAATAGGTGTTAGACACGGCCCCATGCACTTTTATCTGGAGTATTTTTTTTAAGTTGTCGGGTTCTTACTCTGTTGCCCAGGCTGGAGTGCAGTGGCACGATCAAGGCTCACCACAGCCTT